AATCATTTGTCTTGCAGAAATCTATCATTCATTCTCCAGCATCATTTCTATCACCAAGTCCAAATTTTCCAACTACTGGTCCCTCCTCTTTGCTCCCTACAATAGATGACAGCCTAGGAAAGCCTGTGGGCAGTTCTACTCTGTCACGTGGGGGCACTGTGGGAATCAGCTTAGTGGCAGTGGGCCTGGGTTGGAGTCTTTCTGAAGCTGACTGTGACATCTTTCTCCCGAGGAGCTGGTGTTGGGTACTAACTGCTGATCTTTCAGTTAGCAGCCAAGTACTTTAGCTATTGTGCCCCCAGATAATGGGCGTAGACAAATGGAAGTCCTCACTGGAGCAAAGTGGTTTGACATCTGGAATTTCCCTCATGCTTCCTTCCCTGGCTACCGCTCTACACTGTGGAAATGATGGTCCATTTTGACATTCTCCCCAGTACTGTGGAACCATACTAAGCTAACGCCCTTTGTGTTTACTATCTGTGTCCACAAAGTCCCTACAGGGGAGCGTGTGGGATCCCTGCAGAGGAAGATAAAAGTCCTCAATGGGTTACCTAAACCTTTTGCAATTCCTAAGTACTTTCTGAAAGGAAGGACTACTAGAAACAATTTGTTTTTAAGGGAGAATAGGGCTGATGATCTGGACCTTGGAGTTACAGCGATAAGCGCTGGAGTGCAGAAGCCTTACTAGGAATTCTGGTTCTGTTGGCCCCGCACTTGCGCACACATGTGAGCAACTATAGCATCCCGCCTGAGATGCATTCGACACGTGCCCAGAAACTTGAGGATGTTTTGGGTGCTTGAACCCCCTCCCTTGCTGTTGATACAGTTTGAGAGAACTTGTTGGGAAGAGCCGTCAAGTCTGTTCCGCCTCATAGCAAACCTGTATAGGGTTTTCAGGGAGCAGCTGTGGGCTTGAACCATCAACCTCGTGGTTCAAACCAACCTCGCAGTTCAGTGCTTATCCTACAGCACCACACAGGAGAACTGTGCTGCTTCCCTTTTGTCACAAGAGCCCAGAGTGCTCATGTGACATCAGATCTCAGGCCCAGGGTGTCCAGGGAGACTTCTACAGGCTCAGGGAGGGTCCAGTGGTCCCCTTAATGGTCAGCACCCACCTGTCTGACTTCTCGGGAGTGTCCCTGCCTTGATTGGTACCACGACTTCCAGTGGTCCAGGCTGATGGAGTGTGATGCGTAGCAACTGAATCTCTTGTTTCTGGGAATTCGACTTGAGTAAGATGGTCCTGGTGTGGCGCTGCTAGTTAATGCGCTGGACTGAAAGGTTGGTTTGAACTGTGGGGTCAGCGGTTCAAGCTCACCAGCAGCTCCTCAGAAATGCTATACAGGGTCGCTGTGAGTCGGAACTGACTCGATGGCACTTCACAGCAACAACAGGATGGTGCTGTAGGGTAAGACCTGGCTGCTAACCACAAGGTTGGCGGTTCAAACCTACCAGCGGTTCTGAGGGAGAAAGGTGTGTCCGTCTGTGTCCCTAAAGCTGCCAGTGTGGAAACCCTACAGGGCAGTTCTGTCTGTCCTGTGAGCTCATCAGCTAGCTGTCCAAATGGACTTGAGAGTGGGTTTGGAGTTTGACTTCTGGTTTCAAGTGGCCGACACACGGTCAGCTGCTGGCCATCTTTGAGTAAGCACTGCTGTTTCCTTGGTGGGGTCAAAATCCCACTTGTAAGCGATTTGGTTGCTATGCAATATATGATTTGTATCAGCCGTGACTGAACCGGTTCAAACCTATTCGAAACCCCACTTTGTACAATCGGGGAGATGAGAGAAGCAGACATAGGGGTCAGGAGACTGAGCAACTCACACTCCACAAACATTTAGAAATAAGCCCACCTTTCCAGGACTCCCACAAAAGCTCATTCTGTGGATGTCCTAGTCAGTTCTCTGGTGCTACTGTAACTGAAATGCCACAAGTTAGGGAAGAGTCTTAAACACCCAGAAACTTACTCTCCCACAGTTCAGGGGGCTGGAAGGCCAGCATCAGGGTGTAGGCTCTAGAGGTAGGCTTCTCCTGGTCAGCTCCGGGGCTCGGGTGGGAATCTGTCTCAACTTCTCTGGCTTTTCCTGGCAATCTATATGGCTTTTAGTATTGTTTGCTTTTATACCTAGTCGGCTCCGTTTGTATTTCCAAAGTGATTGGTTTAGAACACACCGACACTCATATGCCGTCATTCACCTACCAAAGATAGTCCTGTTTTCAGGTGGGATTACGTCCACAGGTGTAACCAGACCAAACCCGTTGTTGGGAGCTCATTCTGGTTCATAGTGCCTCCACAGGCTGGCATTCTGCAGATTGCAAGGTCTTTCTTCCTCAGAACTACCGGGTTTGAGTTCAAGCTGCCAATGTTTTGTTTAGCAGTTTAAGAGTTTCTACTCTTGGAGGAGCTGCTATCATGCTCATGGGTACTGGGCAAAGACTCATCCGTACTTGTTGGAAGAATAACAGCTACAGTGTGGATCCGAATCAACTCAACAGACTTACAGATCACAAAGCACATCCACCTACTTGTCGTTTAATCGCCCCAACATCTATCTAATTTTACAGGAGGGGCGCTGAGAGTTCAGAGAGCTAAGCTACTCGATCCCAGGATGCTGGTTTCGATGCAATTCTGCACCTTCTCCAGGACCCAAGGTGCACAGCCTGGGAAGAAGGTTTTCTGGGGACAGGTGGGCTGGCTGACACCGGTCTATGGCTTGTTGCAGGTGGGCCTTTTCCGGAAGTCAGGAGTGAAGTCCCGGATCCAAGCCTTACGCCAGATGAACGAGAACTTCCCCGAGAACGTCAGCTACGCAGACCAGTCAGCATACGACGTGGCGGACTTGGTGAAACAGTTCTTCCGGGACCTCCCGGAGCCGCTGTTCACCAACAAGCTCAGCAACACCTTCCTGCACATCTACCAGTGTGAGTGCCAAGGGTGCAGAGGGGCCGTCCCTGAGGGTACAGCACGTACACACTCGTTCCACGGAAGAAATGCCTGGCAATCTGCTTCCCTAGGAAGCCTTCCGGGGACAGTCCTGATGCCCCTCAGGCTTGACTCCAGAGCCCCCCAACAACCGTGTCTTCTTACCCACGTGCTTTAGAAAGTTCTGCCCCAAACGGTTTCCAAGGCCTTGGACCCTGCCCCAGCTCTCCCCTACGGGGAGGCTGGTGGGTTTGAACTCAGCCTTTAGCTGAGCCACTAAACACTGCACCACCAGGGCTCCTTATATGTAGTGATGCTGTTAAGTGCCAGTGAGTCATTTCCGACCCTATATAGGGTTTCCAAGGAGCAGCTGGTGAACTTGAACCACCAATCTTGCAGTCCAAACATTAACCCAGAGCACCACACCAGAACACTCTTTCTCCCTCTCTCTGTGTATATATATATATATCTTTTATATGTTGTTGTTAAGTGCCCGCGAGTCAGTTCTGAATCCTATATAGGGTTTCCAAGGAGCAGCTTGTAGCTTTGAACCACCGACCTTGTGGTTAATAATCCAGTGCTTATCCTACAGCAGGGCTTCCTATATCTGTATATATTTATATATAGATATAGGGTGGTAGTTATGTGTCATAAAGTTGGTTCCAAATCATAGCGACTCTGCATAGAGTTTCTGAGGCTGTAAATCTTTACGGGAGCAGAAAGCCTTATTTTTCTCCCACAGAATGGCTGGTAATTTCAAACTGCTAACTTTGAGGTTCGCAGCCCTATTCGTAACCACTA